GGGGGATGTTAAGCAGAACTTTGGTGTGATTAGGAAGATGAATAGAATAATAATAGATAGTACTAAGAGAAAGTTATTAAGTTAAAATTAGATTATTAATAACTCATCCTAAGCACTAGTCTTTATGAATGAACATGAGTTGATTAGCCAATTGAGCAATTCCCGCCGATCTCAACTCCAATCAAGTTAAATTCTATACTCGATCAACTTAAATTATGTTCGTATATAAGTTTCGAGTCTTTGTCCATCTCTATCACGTTCAAATGATACTTGTACTAACAGAAAGTGTCTAGTTTCCTAATTGAAAAATGAAAGAATGGAAGGGTCAAATACTTGGGGCCATCAACTACTGGACATGCAATATCAACTCAATCAAACTTACTTTTTCAGCATTATTAGCCATATTTATTACAATATTATAACGGTGCAATTAGTCTTCAAAATCCTGAAATATTGCAGCCAAAATTACTGACGTAATTGGAAAATAATTACAGGAAATTTGACCGATCTCTACTTTAACCAGTAACCACCCACTCCATAAAATGATTAATAAAAACCCCACTAATTAGGATTAAATATTTGCTTAAATGGGAATAAATGGTGTTTGGTATAGCTTTTTCTGCTTATGATTAGATAAACTTCTATATAAAAACGGAGCAAAAGACTTCCTTTTTATCTCAACCAATTCCACAATATTTCTAACTTTATAATCTCTCTTCTATTGTCCAACTCTGATTCCACCCACAGAAAGTCTGCAATGACAACTTCGATGCATGCTCGAGTGCCAGATCGTGAGACTACTGCTTCTTAGACATTCGATACCGCCTTAGTCAGACCGTAGTCTCGACTTTCTTTTTCCAATTCTTGTTTGGGCAGCTCACACCATCCATATGTCTTGCTTTGATTTAAGATTTCAATTCTTCTGCGTTTCAGCTACAATTGCAGCCATGGAGTTTGGGGTAATAAGAAGATGAACCACCACATTTAAGTACTGCAACACAAGCAATACTAATGGGAATAGTCATATCTGTACTGTTATTATTTGCAGGTATTGGAGTTTTAGTCCTCATTCATGTTTGTATAGTAGGGAGGTCTTTTAGGAGAGGATTTAGTGGGAGAAACACAGATGTTGTGGAGAGAGGAAGCTTTGGAAGCACAAGCATGTCACAAGAGGATATCGAAAAGCTTCCATGTTTCGACTTCAAAACGAAGGAGAAAGGAAGCAGCCCGGCTGCGATTTGCGCGGTTTGTTTAGAGAATTTTAAGGTTGGAGAAAAGTGTAGACTATTGCCTTTGTGTAATCATAGTTTTCACGCAGACTGTGTGGATTTATGGCTTTTGAGAACACCTATTTGTCCTATATGTAGAACTTGTGCTGATTTTCTGAAGAGTGAATCAATATTAGGGGAAGAACGTAATCACTTTAGTGAAACTGAAAGTCGGATTGAAGTTGGAGTGAATCAAAGAATGGAAATGATCCATCTGACTGAAAATGATGCTCAAGAGATGCAAGCAACAGAATCTGGCATTTCAAGTGAAACAATAATCGACTCGAGAGAGATCCAAGAATCAGAAACTAAGACGAGCAATTCAAGTGAGACGGTAATCGACTTGAGCGAGCACCAAGAAACAGAAACTGACAGTTCAAGTGAGACAGTAATCGACTTGAGCGAGCACCAAGAAACAGAAACTGACAGTTCAAGTGAGATAGTAATCAACTCGAGAGAGAGCTAAGAAATAAAAACTCGAACGAATTGCCTTGTCTAGTGCTGAGAATCAAATATCTCCTTATTGTATGCCACCCCTTGACAAGACTTGACAAAATTTATCTCAAACTCTAAATTTTACCTACATAATAGTTAAATTCGGCTGAAAAATCTACTGTTATTCCCATAAATGAAAAGCTTTGTAGGTGGTAATTAGTTATGAATATATTAGGCCTATCATCAGCTTTATTTAAGTTATCTATCCATATTGTCTGTATTGAGTGGATTAGGCTATCTTGTTAATGCGAGATTAGTGCCACTCCAGTTCTATTGACAACTTCATTTATCTGTCTATTGATTGTATAATTTCTGGTTTGAGAGCTTCACAAAAATGAAGCTCAAAGCTGAACTCGACTGCATGCTCTAACTTGACAGACCTACGCATAATCCAAGAGTTGATTGTTGAGTACTGAACAAATGGTATACCGAAATATCAAAACAAATGTCGTGATATCAAGTCTTATTGCTACTTTGAAAGAGGGTTCACATTTCAAGCCATTAATTAAAAAATTGTGCACATAATGTCGGAAATTGGTGATATATTAACGTTGGTTTGATCAACTTTTGACCAATTATTCGGGTGGATCTCAGTGGTCAGATGCAAGAGATTTGTTTGGCTAAGTGTTTTCTACTCCTGAAATTTTTCTTGACAACGTTGATGAATGTGAGAACTAGTTTGGGGGGCAGAATATGAACCTTAAACTTTGTTGGAAGGGGGAGAGTGGTGGGAGAGAAATAGATTTTTTTTTTTTTTAGTTTGTTAATTAGTTATTTGGGACTCATTTGCACTCTTTTGAAAATTTTGAGACTGCTGTTGCAATCAATTCTCTTTTTTTTCTTTTTTTATTATTTAAAAATGAGGGTATATTCTTTATTTGACAAAGCTTTATTGAGAAAATGAAAGATATCACTGTATTTCGCACTTAAAAGATCATCTAGAGTGATCTTTTGTTAATCCGAAAGGATATAGTGTATCCCGCAAAAGTGACAAATGTCGGAGGATTTTGCATCAATTACCTAATTTCAAAATTATACATTTTGACCCTATTTAAGTGTATTTAACCACAAGGGAAAATTTTTCGTTAATTTAAAAGATTATGGAATACTTTCAGAATAGGAGCAAAGTTTAGGAGAGTTTTGCATCAATAACCCACAACTTTTTGATGATCAAATCAGTCCAACGCCATCAGCCACTGCGTACAAAATCAACCCACCATTAATTATCGTTATATATATTTATATTTAGGAGAGCCACTCCATACAAAATCCTTAAAATTATAATATCCACATTCTCCAATGAACATCTGCTACGTGGCCACCTTAATACAACCATTGTTTCCAACTATAATGTTCCAGTTGTTCACGGTCAAACACTTGGAGGAATTAGTGGAAGATTGCCGTTTGACCCAGCCATTTTTCCAAAATTGCAGTTGACCATTAAAAAAAAATGTTTAAAACCTAAAAAAATGAATGAAATTCCCTTTATACCCTCATACTGTGAAGAGAAAAAAGAGTGAAAATTACTGTAGACCATAAATCGACGCCCAGACACTAGCCAACACGCTAAGAAATCGACGACCCAAATCGAAGATCGCCATCTCTGACCCTTGAATTTCTGGTGAGCATTAAAACCATTATATACAATTAATTTTTGAAATAAAGCGTTCTTATATGTAGATTTGTTGAAAAATCTATGCAAAAAATGTTTGTATATGAGATAGGAGTGGGCACGGTCCGGTTTGGTCCTGTTCCAAAGGAAATCGAACCGAACAGAATACCAATGGGAATTTTAGAAATGAAACCATTGGTTCCATAGCTAACTGTGAAACCGAACTAGAACCAAACCAATCGGTTCCGATTTGGACCGGTCCGGTTCTTTACGTTGAAAATGTCAAAATAAAATGTTCACTAATAAAAACTTTAAAAATGCTACCAACATGATATTTTTAACAAAATATAGAAGAACTGAACATATTATTCAAAAATTTATTTAGGTATAAATTTACAAAGTGAAAACAAAACAAAAATTTCGCATCTTGTAAATGAAATTATATATTGTAAATAAATTTATTTAGGTATAGATTAACCCAATATTCAATTTGACTTGAAAATCAATTAATCAAAGAATTATAAGAAGAGACAATGAAAGAATCAAAGAGAAGAAGGAAAGTGTTGAGTCTAAAATTAAAGAACCCAATTATTTTTGATAAAAGTGTTAGAGATTGAGTTATATATTTTACCAAAAAAAAAATAAAAAAAAATCCAATAAGAACCGTCTGGTTCTTGCGGTTCCCATACTAGAACCAAGAACCGGACCGGAACCAGTCAGTTCTTAAAAATTTGTCTCGAAATCAAATTATTTTTTAGAAGATCCGGAACCGAACCGATCGGTTCTAAACGGTTCCGGTCCGGTTCCACCGGTTCTGGAAAAAAGTGCCCACTCCTAATATGAGAAATAATGCCTGATATACCAAGATATTTCGGATTTTGGTGGCGGAGATCTTCGAAAATGGTGATCTTCGCTATTTCCAGCATTTCGTCGGAATTCATCCTATCTTTTCAATCGTCAAGCACTTGAATTACCTGACATGACAAGCTTTCAATGCCTAGAATGTCCATTAACTCAGGTAGCATAAACTCCTTGAGAGTTATTGGAAACATAGATACGAAATAGTATTTTCATTTGAAAGAAGGACGTCTCGTATCTCCAGCGGCAAACGGATTTGAACCACTGTGAAACCAGTCAAATCATGGGAAGCAAACTTTCTACCATTGTTTTCTTGATCTACCCAATTGGTCAAGGAGAGGGAGAGATGGCGTTGTCTATTTCATTCCTTGTGACTTTGATATCATGCGAACCTATACTTCGATTGGGGCCTGGGCCTTGACAGATTAAGACTGGGGCTTCGTTTTGTCGCCTATAAACCTTGTAGGGTTAGGAGTAAAGCATCCCGAGGTTAGCGCATCTCGTTGAGCGTGAAAAAGCATTGGGAACCCCAATTTCTTTCTTCAGAGCCGTTTCTTTTCCTGTCCCTCGCCCCATGACCCTTACTCCATTCCTTTGGTATAGAGGGTTGGAGTAGCCACTGGAGCCACACTTAAAAGAGAGAAATTAGCATTACTTGGTGAAATAGGTTCTTTTATAATCAATTTCAAAGTCATTCATGAGTCATTTCTTTATTGTGTCTCAATTAAATTGTTTATTTAATATTTAATTACTTATTTTAATTAATTATTTATTTAATATTAAATTTATTTTTTTATTTAAATATTTCATTAATTACTTTAATTGGTTATGTTATGTATATTATTTATTTAATATTTAATTACTTATTTTAATTGTTTATTTAATATTTAATTTAATTTTTTTACTTAAATATATCATTAATTATTTTAATTGTTTGTGTATATTATTTATTTAATATTTAATTAGTTATTTAATTAATTAGTTATTTTAATTGTTTATTTAATATTTAATTTAATTATTTATTTCAATATTTCATTAATTGTTTATGAATTGTTTTATTTAGTATGTAATTAGTTATTTAATTTACTTGTTTATTTATATATTTCATTAATTATTTTAATTATTTATTTTAATTACTCATTTATTTCAATTGTTTATTTCATTGGTGTATTTAATATTGAATTGTTTTTGTAATTGCTTATTTAAATTATTTATTTTAACTGTTATTTATTTATTTCAATTGTTTATTTAAATTATTTGTTTAAGGGAAAATTGCTGCAGTGGTCCCTTTATTTAATTACTTATTTTAATTGTTTATTTAATATTTAATTTTTTATTGAATTTTTAATTTTGTTGACAAAAAATAAATTTTCACTTTTTATAATTTCATTGTTTAATAGTTCTTTACATTAGTCTCCTTTATTCCATTATGTGCTGATTCTTGTGATGACACCTGAATATATTTTCGCGGATAAGCACCAAGTCCAACTTCAACTTGTCAAACATCTGGTCGCATTCCTTGACTGCTTCCCCCAATTGCGCCAGAATTACTATCGTTTACCTATGCAAATATTCATTTAGCAACCTTCAGTTTCTCGAAATATGAGCCTCTGCTGGTTCTTCACCCGTACATCTCAATTCGATGATGAAGGCAAACTCGAATATAAAAAATGTAGTTACCTTGCTCCCAAGATCAAAATAGAGTTATCCCCCTGTCAACTAGTTTAAGTAGCCGACATAGCAATACATCGAGCAACTGCTCAGAAAACTGTATGTCGAACAATAAATACAGTGACCATAAGCAAGATCGATGCAATGCGTCTGCGTGCTCTTCATCGATCAAATCTAATACCGACGTAAAGCTGGTAAATTTACAATTCGACGTAACTTTGTTGGGACCTGTCTAACGACGTCATGTAAATGGTATTCTATTCTACAAAATTTCAAATGTTTAAACCTTGTGCAAGAGATAATGGATGAAGCATAATATTAAAAAATTAAACTAACTGAATTATAATTACTATATGCAAGAATCAGGAGTTAAATGTTTCATTAGCCACTGAACTTTTGGATATGTCACGGTTTACTCACCGAACTTTCAAACTTGTCCCGTTGGCCATTGAACTTCACCCCATTACTGCCCATTACTCACCGAATCAGATCTGCTAGTTGATGTGTGTACGTGACAGACAGAAAATCTAGCTGACCGGTTGAATCCTTACTAGTGTTAAATGAATTTCCACTTAAGCATCCATATCAGCATTGGAAGCACGCCTTTCTTTGTCCCACAAAATGAAACAAGCCTAACTCAAATAATTTAACTCCCTAATTCTCCAAGTCGTAAAATCAAATAACACCCATCCAACTGGAAGCCCTCATTTCTCCAAATCGTCCCAAATCGGAGCTCCAAATCAAGACACCTTCACCGACCGGATGCAGTAATCAACTCTTCGGTGGAGCGCAATCGTGATTTGAACTGCATTGAAGGTAAATATCGTATGCAATTGAAATCTAGAACCTTCGAGATTTGTTCTTCCCGAATGAATTTTTGGTTTATTTGGGCAATATTATTAATTTTTCAGAGTTGTCATATTTTCGATTTCGTTGAAACATTTATCAAAATGCACAAACCATCTGATTCATGGTTTTTTAGTTGCTTTCAAAAGTGACCTCATCATTTCCAGCGAACCTTCACCTATGTTTCGTTCTAAAATATCGGGTGTAATT